GTTGTCATTGTTGTTTGCCAGGCCTGGGCTGGATTTAAACCCACCAGTTCTGGTGTATGTGGCTGGCGCCTTAGCTGCTTGAGCTACAGGTGCTAAGCCAGCGAGTTATTTTGTTGTTGTTGTTGTGGTTGTCATTGTTGTTTAGCAGGCCTGGGCTGGGCTCCAACCTGCCAGTCTGGGTGAATGTGGCCGGCACTCTACCCACTGAGCTACAGGCACTACCCAATTTCTTATTTTTTTTAATTGTGGTGCATCGAGCACATTGTACATAATATCAAATATCATATTTCTTGAGTATCTAACTTGTATCCATCAACTGGAAAGTAATAACACTTCCGTCTGCATGTAGCTTTCTGTGTTCTAGAAAATCCCACGACCCACCACAGATTTCATTTCCAAACATTTTTAGCTGAATGCACTTTTCAAATAAAAGTAATGCATTTAGCACTTGAAAAATGTGCATACCGATTAGTCCAGTGACATAGCCTTTGTCTTGCAATATTTTTGCAAAAGTGGTCTCATTTGTCGGAAGGCCTCCAGACACTCCTGCCCACTGCAGAACACGGTCACCGTCGCTGGAAACCATACCTTTGAGCAAACATTAAAAATATATATATAATCACTGTTATACACTTGTTTTTTGTGTGTTCGTTATTAATCAACAAAATAAACTAACCTGGTGAAATTCTCTATTATTTAAATCAAATTGAAAATGTACTTCTTACACGTTTATTTCACTGGGTGCATTTTCCACAGTAAAAGACATGATTAATTCACTAAAAAGGTAATCGAGGAGATGGATTGTCACATCCTGTGCAGGTTATAAAGGAAAGAATTGAATGAAAAAGGGATGAGGATTAAAAATGATTTTTTGGGCTCAGCGCCTGTGGCTCAAGTGGCTAAGGTGCCAGCCACATACACCTGGGCCCACCAAACAACAATGATGGCTGCAACCAAAAAATATCTGGGCGTTGTGGCGGGTGCCTGTGGTCCACCCCAGCTACTTGAGAGGCTGAGGCAAGAGACTCACTTGAGCCCAGGAGTTGGAGGTTGCTGTGAGCTGTGATGTCCCCTAAGGGTAACAGCTTGAGGCTCTGTCTCAAAAAAAAAAAAAAAGATTTTTTGATTTTATCATGGTTTTGATAGAATCCTGCAATTCTCAAACTTCTCTGAAGATTGAAATCAAGCAGAAACTTGAAAATATTCCAATGCTTGGTCATTACCTAAGGGCAGTGTTTTTCAACCATTTTTTAAATCTCATGTCCCTCTTGAGCATATGGTTAAAATTCCACGGCAAATTTCAACGATGTTGATCAAAAAGAGTAAAAAAGTTAAGAAAATAAAAAAAAGAGGCTTGGCACCTGTGGCTCAAACAGCTAAGGTGCCAGCCACATACACTGGAACTAGCTGATTTGAATCCAGCCTAGGCCTGCCAAACAACAATGACATCTACAAACCAAAAAAAGTCGGGCGTTGTGGTGGGCGCCTGTCCTCCTAGCTACTTAGGAGGCTGAGGCAAGAGCATCGCTTAAGCCCAAGAGTTTGAGGTTGCTGTGAGCTGCCACTCTACTGAGGGCAAAACAACAACAAAAAAATTGGTTGGGGGGGCCTCTGGGTTGTATGGTGCTTCCTAGTACATTGCTACCTGGCTCTGGGGTGGTTAGGGCAGAGAATAGTGGCCCCAAGCATGAGACACTCACGCAGGAGGTGGTTAGCTGGGGTGTGGGCTCTGGATCGGCTGGTTTGCCTATGAAAGGCGTAACCACGAGTGAGTCATTTGCCATCTCTAGGAAACAGGTAGTCTTACAAGGAGCATTCTGTCTAGGGTCAGGCAGGTGCCAAGATATCAAAGCATCAAGGATAAAAAATGAAAACCATGATTAATACCCCAGGCCAGCTAGATCAGCCCACCCAAGGGTGCATTGCTGGCATTACTGTTTTTGTGACGGTCTGCAGAGATTCTACTGGGCAGCTGAGGTTGAGTAGCATGGATTTGGAAAAAGCTGTGTGCTTTGAGGCTGGGTGGACACATGTAGCCGAGGCTGCTTAGCAATCATTAGTGTGGTCTGCAGACTGAATGTGGTTCTCAGTGACCGTCATTTGGGAACTTGGAGAATTCTGTCTGGGGATTTCCAAAATGTGGAGGATGCATTTTGGTTCAATATAGACTATTGGGGAGGTAAACAGCTCTTGGCTGTATCAGAGATAGTTATAGTGTTCCAGCTTAAGTTGGCCAGGATTCTTTCTTCCTTGGGGCATGGGAAGGAGTGTTAAGGACCCAGGTATATGAAAGTGTGTAAGGGACAGCACCCGTAGCTCAGTAGGTAGGGCACTGGCCACATACACTGAGCGTGGCTGGTTCAAACCCAACCCGAGCCAGCTAAAAAAAACAGTGACAACTGCAACAACAACAACAAAAATAGCCAGGCATTGCAGCAAGTGACTGTAGTCCCAGCTACTTGAGAGGCTGAGGCAAGAGAATCACTTAAGCCCAAGAGTTTGAGTTTGCTGTGAGCTGTGACACCACAGCACTCTATGCAGGGTGACACCTTGAGACTCTGTCTGAAAAAAAAAAAAAAGACTTTAGGGTCCACTCAGCTGGGGTATAATCTCTGATTATTCACACACACGTCTGGATGTAATGTGGGAGTTCACATCTATATTCAGATAACTAAAGGATATGACTCTTGTTCTAAAGGAGATGACTCTTTAACTAAAGGAGATGAATCTTATTCATGTGGGGGGACCTCATCTGACTCCTTCCTTTCTTCCTTCCTTCCTTCTTTCTTCTTTTTTTGAGCCAGAGTCTCACTCAATTGCCCAGGCTTGAGTGCCATGGCATCATCATACCTCACAGCAACCTCAAACTCCTGAGCTCAAGTGATCCTCCTGCCTCAGCCTCCCCAGTAGCTGGGATTACGGTCATGCACCTCCACGCACAGCTAATTTTTCTATATTTAGTAGGGACAGGGTCTTGCTCTTCCTCAGGCTGCTCTCAAACTCCTGACCTGAAGGGATCCTTCCTCCTCCGCCTCCCAGAGTGCTGGGATTACAGGCAGGAGCCACCACACTTGGCCAAAAAGTATGTTTCTTAACATGAGAAATTATATAAAATTTGAAGCCCTGTGGTTATAAATAAGCTTTATTGGAACACGGCTACATCCTTTTCGGCACATTCTGTGTATAGTGAAGCTGGAACACAGGTGAACAGTGGCAAGAAAACTAGTGACCTGCCAAACTGATAATATTACTCTCTTGCCCTTTACGGAAAAAGCTGGCCCATCCCTGCTTTGTGTAGCTATCCCCAAGATGGGAGGCAGTCAAATGGGTGAGCACCTGTGCAGGTCACCTGGGTACCTGTCTGACTCTTAATGACTCCAATCTGATGCTAAGGACATGCAGAGTTAGAATGTCCTCTGTCCACTGTTCTGGATGACCCGCTGTTCACATCTGTACAAGTTCAAGGAACCATGCGTTCCTGTCCGGCTCCCGTGGTTACTTACGAAGGTAGACCAACCTGATCGAACAGGGTATCGGCCCGTCAGAAAGGCAGCCCTGCTTGGGGTACAAACAGAAGCTGCAGCGATGTGCTGGGTTAACATCACTCCGTCCTCTGCAAGCCGGTCGATATTGGGCGTCCTGAGGAGGGAACAGTCACCGCTTGATTCCTTAACAAGCAGGCAGGGTTTGCATAAGCTTAGGCAGCTGCACACTACTTAATAGAAAGTCTGAGGGTCATTGTTTAATGCCGTGGTCTCCAAACTCCACGCCACAGACGGGTACCGATCCGTGGTTTGTTAGGAGGCGGGCTTCACAGCAAGAGGCGAGTGGAAGGCAAGCAAGGGTTCATCTGTGCGTCTCTCACCACCACCTGCCAGATCAGCAGGGGCATGAGATTCTCACAGGTGCTCAAACCCTACTATCAACGCTGGATGTGAGGGCTCTGGGTTGTGCTTCTTATGAGAAGGTAAGGCTGATAATGTGAGATGGAGCTGAGGTTGCGATTTCAGCACTAGGGAATTTGCAGCTGCAACTACAAATAATCATTAGCAGAGAGCTTTGGCTGCGCAGAGACCACAATAAGTTATTTCATTATATAATACAATGGTGGAATAATACAGATAGGCTC